CTCTCGGTTGAGCACGCGCGCACATATACATGTGCGAAAGAGAATATTAATGTTTATGAGAGATATTTATATTTATATCCCCCCTAGATTTAGAATATGTAACATAAAAATAAATCCCCCTCTAAATATAAATATATATACCTCCCTATATTTTTATATATATATATAGATATATATCTCTCTCTCTATATATATATATAGATATATCTCTATTTTTTTTTATATACAGACACCCCCCCATATATATATATATATATATGTGTATATATGTATATGTGTATATATATATATATATATATATATATATATATATATATATATATATATATATATATATATATATATATATATATATATATATATATATATATATATATATATATATATATATATATATATATATATATATATATATATATATATATATATATATATATATATATATATATATATATATATATATATATACTAGTGATGGAACACCGCGCAAGGCGCGGTGCTTGGTCAATTTTTTCGTAAGTTATAAATTTCTATCTCTCATGGCTCGTAAAGATTTAAAAGGACGAAAATTACTATAGCAACAAAGACAAAACATAAGATAAAAATCCCGTAATGGATGTGTGAAACTCCTCGGCGGCATTGTTGATGATTTGATGTGGTGCGCCGCCCTCCCCTTTCTCCTCTTGTATTTCAGTTCATGGGTAAAGAGACAACTAAACTCTCGATATGCAAATATTTTTTTAACACATTATGGTTAAAAAGTAGAAAAATCCACACAATGAAGTAGAAAAATCCCCACAATATTAAAAAGTCTACTAAGGCAGTTCAACACCAACACAACACACAACGAAGTAGAAAAATCCACACAATTTTATTGAACAAACAAGTACTCAAGGGCCTTCAACTCAGAAACTATTTCCATCTGAGTTATATATGTAATTATACGATAAAGACACGTTCTTCCATCTGAGTTATCCTTGTCCAACACCCCACACGTCAACCAGAAAAATGAAATGATAAATCACAAAAAATAATAAAAATTAACAGCTGTAACTAAATAGAAACCGATACAAGCATAACTAAATAAAAACCGATACAAGCATGTGTGGGCATGTCTCAGGAAATATAAAAAAGAATTATACGATGCCAACAATGATCACGAGAATTCTTACCACTACCAAATCAAAGTACAGTCCCAAGAAAAAAAAAAAAAAAGCAACAATTTCATCGTTTCATAAGATACTAAGAAGTGTGATTTTTTTTTTTTACCAAGGCATCGACCAATCATTTGGATCTATAGAAAGCATAAAGAAACTACTCACAGATTGAAATATTTACCATCACAAAAGGCTAGGGTTCAATATTCTTTAGCATACGTCAATTTACAACCTGAAATGAGTTTGACTAATCGACAGTAGGTTTCGTTTCAAGACTAAATTCGCGTGGAGTAATTAACCATGATCTCGGTCATTATCGGGTGCGGCTGGTGAAAAGTCCAAAAAGTCCTCTTGGTTGTTTATAAAGTACATTCTAATCGGGGATCTGTGTCTTTCCCGGTAAAGCCGTATCCAATCCAAACTTGACAGATTTAACGACACGAATCGTGCGCACGTTACTCGTGCCACAATATGCTACCTGTCAAAGTCAATACGTACACAAAACCGGCAAGCTGAAGTCGAAAAAATTTCGTCTTTATGATCGAACTCCTTTAACACTTGACCTCATATATTTCACACATCCCTTACACAAAGTTGAAAATCGAAAGGTTCTAATCGGGCGCCACCCCAGCAAGTCTAACTCTAGTGTTCTACAATGCATATCAAAAAGCCACGCCCACCAGATCGATACTGTCAAAAAACCAATAACTCAGGGATCAATAATATACATTCAGCTCAGGAATATCAGTTTGTCGTAGTATCAGTCTCGTAGCCCCGACTCGACTACACGCAAAGAAAATAAAAAACTTCTTAAATTCGTTCATATGCCATAATCAACATTGCTACACAAAAGCAAGCAATGAACACAAAATCCACCACATGCAACAAAAAGAAAAAAAAAAAAAAAAAATCCACAGAAGAAACAGCTGAAAACACGCGGATGAATCATACCCTAACAAGAAATTAAAACGGTGTGTGAAGAGAAAATAAAACCTACCCGGTGCAATAACCACACCCGATTCGAAGTTCACATTCTGTGTGTTGTCTTCTTCCTCCTGGTTCTCCGGGGACTCTGCCCCGTAGTCGTTCCGGTCGAGATCATGAAGGCGCCCGAGTTCAAAAGCGGGTCGGGACGTCGGGTCACCAGTGGGTTTCCCGGTGGGGCGTGCCGTCGGGTCTTCAGCTTGGGGAACCGGGTCTTTGGGCTGGGGTTCGGACAATTTTTTGTAGAAATTGAGAGGAAACTGGAGAAAGGGTTACTAAGTGCGAGCGAGCAAAAACGTTTTGGAATAACGATGACAAATATCGGAGAACGGGAAAAATAGGGGAGAGATTTTCCGCGCAGGAGCTTTTGACTTTTGAGAGAAACTGAGGTGAGAAGAAAAAAAATCGAAAAGGAAAAAAAAAGAAGCAGGTGAAGCAGGAAGATTTAAAGTGAGAAAATAAAGGGAAAAGAAAAAATTGAAGGCAGCGGATTGGAAGATGGAAAGCGAACGACGTCGTTTGGTGTATAAACGGGCCAAATGGAAAAGGAAAAGAATTTGGGGGCGATGTACATATATATATACTTTTATATATATATATATATATATATATATATATATATATATATATATATATATATATATATATATATAGGCACATATTTTTCCTTTTGGTACGTATTTAATTTTTCATATTTAATTTTCCAAAAAACAATTCTAATTTATGCATGATAATAATATCAATTCTTATCATATAAAATAGTGAAATATGTGTTGTACCTTTCCAAAAAAAATTAATTGCCATGACATGCATGTATGCTTAAAATTAAGAAACTACGTACCAAATATAATTCACGTAGAATTATTTGTGGTTGTTGGAAATAGAATCTATGCCAAAAAGGAAACAAAAAATCGAAATCAGAATCTACTACTCAAGTTGATGGTTCTCATTCCAAAAATATTGGTCATGCTGCTTAAGATACAAAATAATACCTAAAAATAGATAATCAAAATTGGTCTATATATACACTGAATTACTATCATCAAATATCAAATTAAATACGTACTCGAAATAAAGTAGAAAATATCGAAGAAAAAAGGAGTAAAGATCGAAGAGATGGCGGGAGAGGGAGACGAGCGTCCACATATGGTTGAAGAGAACGAAGAAGCGGGTTGGGAGCGTCCATATATGGTTGAAATGGCGGGTTGGGAGCGTCCACATATGGTTGAAATGGCGGGATGGGAGCGTCCACATATGGTTGAAGAGATGGCGGGAGAGGGAGATGAAGAAGAGCGTCCACAGATGGTTGAAGAGATGGCGGGAGAGGGAGATGAAGAAGCTGGTTGGGAGCGTCCACAGATGGTTGCCGGAGCACAAGTCGGAGGACGAGCCATGTTCTTACTTAGTTTGTTGCAGGTAATTACTTATCAAAAAAAAAAAAAATCCATTGATATATATTTATATTCAATAATTTTGTAAAATTTTTTTATTTATTATTTATATGAATCATCAGGTGATTGTGGCATGGGTGACAGTGGGTGTGGAGATCTTATTGGTAATGGGAGTAGGTGGGGCAAAGCATCGAACAAGTTTGTTATGGGTGGCGCCGTTCACATCAACTATCTCGGTGTGTTTGGTTTTGTGTCGTTATCGAGTTGACAATAACCCGATGATGACGTGGTTTGGTTATGCTATGACGGTTGGCTTCTCTATGCTGCACATAGGAAGCAGCACGTTCCACTTGCTGAAGGCGCTTAACGGTTGGAAATTGAAGAATTTTTTAATCAACTATCCGCTTATTTACGCCGTATGCGTCTTGGTTTCTGTCATTATCAACCTTTCTTGTTTGGTAGAACGCGGCTAGGATTATTAACTCAACGATCGGCCATCTGCATGTTTTTATGCGTGCTACCGTTATTTTTTCGTTTTCAGTACTTTCCAATTTCGTTTATGTTTTTCTCTTGATTGAATTTTAGTTTCATATTTTTTCTCTTGATTGAATTTTAGTCTTTTATTTTTCTCTTGATTGAATTTTTGTCTTATTTTTCTCTCGATTGAATTTTAGTCTTACATTCCATCTAATTTATTTACGCCTTTCTATGTATTATGAGAAATTAAATAAACTTTTCCCAACCATTATAATTACATCTACACACATATACGTATTTAATAAACTATATAGACATGACAGAAATACAAGAATTGCGTGAAAATAATGATATAAAAAATTAAACAAAAATAATGGAGTAGAGTTCAAACAATACTAGAGCTGAGATAAAAAAAAAGGTTAGGAGATTTAATTTAAAAAAATACATATATATGCTCATGTAGAAAATGTTAACAAAAATCGATGCAAAATCAATTTACCTGCACAAATATAATTGAATACACCTGGAATTGTAGTGGTTGGAATTGAATAAATAATCAATTTACCTGCACCAAAAATGAAGTGAGATCAAAGCAAAATCTTCAACTTCAGTTCATATTCTGATTCCAAATATTGGTCATACTCATACGTATAAGTTTAAAACATAAAAAAGTAAGCATTAACCATATATATATATATATATATATATATATATATATATATATATATATATATATATATATATATATATATACTAGGGGGGTGGCAGTTTGCCCATTATGTACGGATAACTTTGAGGGCAATGTAAGTTGGGGCTTGCAAGTTTTTAAACTGCTGTTCATGGTTGGATTATGATTGATCCAAATAATGAGTTAATCATTTTCAGCAAAGCAGAACAAAATAATGTCTCCACATATCTACGATAGAAAATTAAAACCCATAACTAAAACATTGATCAGAGGGCTCAGTTCATATCGAAGAAACACGAACCCAACCGAGTTTGAGCATATCAAACTGCATTACGTGAATACCTCGTCCCAAACTGCATTAAAATTTTCAGATGTAAGTCTATGTTAGCCTAATCAAAACACCTGTTTTGCAATGTAAATAAAATTTATATCAGTACAAAGCATACACAGAAGAACTACCTAAGTGAGCAAACATTGCATGCTGGGAATTTAAATCAATAATAAGAAGCAAATTATTCATAATTTTCAAGAATATTGCGTAACAGTCAAGAAAACGCGACGAAAAAAACCGCAATCTTTTTACGATGACCTCAAGCAATTTCGGATTACTTTCAAGCTAAAAACATTAATGGTATGAACAACCATGATAGAATACTAAATTTGCTTTAAATGCTAATAAGTCAAAAAATCATATTCAAAAGAAAAATAAATTGCTTAAATCCCAATTAAGTCATAAATTATATTCAAAAGAACAACCTCCAGCTGTTGTTCCAGTTAACTGCAATTATATATGAAAAAATATATGTATAGCTCATAAACAACAAAACAAGAAAATAAGCTTGAATTTCAGAGCAAAAAAATGGGTTTTCGAGTTTTGGTTTTCTGATTTCAGGTTTCGGATTTTCGAGGTTTTGCTTTTCGGATTTCGGGTTTTGATTTCGGTTTAGTTTCGGTGAATTTCAGATCCACAAGGCAACTCCTACTAATCGAAAAATTTGACTCTCCAACTAAAATTTGAAGGGCTCTACTCTAAACCACACTATCCTTATTGAAAAAGCAAGCCCAAAAAAAAAAAAAAAAAAAAAATCACGAACAAGAAAAATCAAATTCTCCGATTTTCACATATGCATGAACAAGTCAAAAATCATATTCAACTCATGATTTTGGTCAAATTCTCTACCCTTTCTAAATCAACAAACAAGAACATAATCACGATTATCAAATCAACACGGCAATTCCCACTTATCGAAAAATCTAATCCTCCAACTAAAAAAAAAAATCATTTATTGGAAAACAAAAAAAAAGAAAAAAAAAAAAAAACAAGCATCTGATTTTTCACATACCCTTGCATGAATGAACTCTTCGATTCTCCCTTCATCGAACTGCCCCGACAATTTAGGCCCGAAAGAGACTTAAAAGTCTGGATTTCGTCTTCCCGATTAAAGAAAAGAAAAGATGGACAGAAAATTATGAATAATTTGCTTCTTATTTTGGAGGAAAGTAGCTGTTAGGGGGAGGGGGGAGGGGGTAGCTGGGAATTCTTGAGATGGTCGACGGAATTTCTGGAAGCGGAGGAGGAGGCGCGGCGGAGCAGGTGGAGGAAAGATGCGGTGGGAAGCGACGCTGGCGGAAGAGGCGGTGGGCGGCGACCAGGGCGGCGGACGAGGCGGCGGCGGGAGTGGAAGTGGGCGGGAGTCAACGATTGCAGGCCTCTGATACGAATTATTATTTAATATATTATTTAATTATTAGTTTAGTTAATAATTTATTATTAATTAAGTAGATTAGTATATTTTATATATATTATTTAAGTATTAGTTTATTTAGTTTACATAGGAGCCGTAGTATTCTAGGTATAGGATAGGTATTTAATATTTTATTAGTATTTTATTAGTATAGGTAATTATGTTTCCTAGTTAGATTAGGATTCTAGGGTTTTATTCTCTTTAAATAGTCGTATTGTGCTAGGGTTTTAGAATGCAGAGAAATAATAAAGAATAGTTTTCTTACGTTTCGTAAAGAATTCTTATGATACTCGAGAGATCGCATCAATTGGTATCAGAGCGAAGTTGCGATTAACACCAACGCTTCGTTAGCAAGGCAGAGATTATATCAAAGCTACGCTGGAGCAAAGTTGAGATTACATCAACACTTTGTGAAATTATGACGTCCGAGAGAAGACGGTTGGAGCGATTGGAAAAATCCGTCGAGAAGTTACGGATTGGTATCCAAAAATTGCTCGAACAAAGTCAAGGACGGCGTCAACGCCATCATAAAAGCCGAAGGGACCGCCGCCCATCACCGCCGCTGCCGCTGCCGAGCCTATCGCCGGAGAAAGAGGAAGAGGACGACGATGAATTTTTCGAAGAACCCCAATTGTTTGTGAGTTCGCCGAAAGAAGAAGAATCGGAATCAACTGAGATAAAGTGGGACGACGAGCCGAAAGAAGAATTATCGGATTCACTTGAGGTAATTTGGGACGAAGACGAAGAATTAACAAGGGAGGAGAACGAAGAGCTACGATGGATATTGGGAGATTTCAATGATCTTCAAAACAAAGAAGACGAAGGAGTATTGACGATTTTCAAGGAGATTAAGAAATCTAACATTGCTATTGAGAAGATTGAGGTATCACTAAAAGTGTCAAATATTTCCTCGATGATGTTTAATGAATTGTTTGACCATAACAAACAATACGTTAAAGAGTCAACGATGGTGGAGACATGTGATGAAGTAGTCGATCAATTGATTGAGATTCGTGTTCTCAGCATCCTACATGAGAACAAATTATTTTTGAAGAAATTGGATGGCATCAAGCATAGATGGAAGCGCAAAAAAAAAGAGAGAGCTGCAAATATTCGAACCTTGAGGACAAGGTTCATTTCAAGAGGGGTGGTTTGATACGAATTATTATTTAATATATTATTTAATTATTAGTTTAGTTAATAATTTATTATTAATTAAGTAGATTAGTATATTTTATATATATTATTTAAGTATTAGTTTATTTAGTTTACATAGGAGCCGTAGTATTCTAGGTATAGGATAGGTATTTAATATTTTATTAGTATTTTATTAGTATAGGTAATTATGTTTCCTAGTTAGATTAGGATTCTAGGGTTTTATTCTCTTTAAATAGTCGTATTGTGCTAGGGTTTTAGAATGCAGAGAAATAATAAAGAATAGTTTTCTTACGTTTCGTAAAGAATTCTTATGATACACAAGAGATCGTATCAATCTCCCGCTCCCATGGCTGTGAGAATTGGACGGCAGAGGAAATCGAAATGAAAGACGAAAAAGGCTCTGAGAGAAGAAGAGGGGCGGAGCGGTGGTCAGCATTCGCATCGGAAAAGGGAGAGGAGAACACAGCTGTAGAAGCAGGAGGAAAAAGAAAGAAAAAAAGAGAGCCGGGCCCACATATTTGCATTATAGGCTTGTAAAAGAATAAAAAAACATCTGGGCCCACCGAAGATGGCCGATTGCAATCGTGCATAGTAAAATTAAATGGAAAGTAAATTAAGAAAGCCACCTGATTGGTGGAGCTTCACCGAACGGCGTCGTTTTACATGGAAGTTGGCAGAAAGAAAAAGGAAAAAACGGAAATGGAGAGTAAAATAGAGGGCTTCGACGCTTATATATATGTAATATATACTAATTTTTCGTGCATGTGTATTATCTACTTATTTTCCAGAAAAATATACAATAATACTTTTGCATGAAAAATTCAAACTATAGAACAAATATGGCATGCATGGGGAAGGTGCATGTAGTAGACGTAGTCGGTACTAATTAATACGGCATACATAATTAATTACAACACCTATTTTATTCATTTTAATTTGTGTATATATTGTAAGACCAAAACTAGTTGACTATAGTCATATTCAACTATAGTCATATTCGGCGTAGTAAATTTGTGTTGTACATACCTTTCCAAAAAAAATTAATTGCCATGCCATGCACGCATGCTTAAAATTAAGAAACTACGTACCAAATATAATTCACGTAGAACTATTTGTGGTTGTTAGAAATAGAATCTATGCCAAAAAAGAAACAAAAAATCAAAAGGAGAATCTACTATTCAAGTTGATTCAAAAAATATGGTCATGCTACCTAAGATACAAATTAATACCTAAAAATAGATAATCAAAATTGGTCTATATATATGTACTGAATTACTATCATCAAATATCAAATTAAATACGTACTCGAAAAAAAGTAGAAAAGATCGAAAAAAAAGGAGGAGAAAAGATCGAAGAGATGGCGGGAGAGGGAGATGAAGAAGCTGGTTGGGAGCGTCCACAGATGGTTGCCGAAGCACAAGCTGGAGGACGAGCCATCTTCTTACTTAGTTTGCTGCAGGTAATTACTTATCAAAGAAAAAAAAAATATTCCATCAATATATATTTATATTCAATAATTTTGTAAAAAAATTTTATTTATTATTTATATGAATCAGGTGATTGCGGCATGTGTGACAATGGGTGTGGAGATCTTACTGGTAATGGGAGTAGGTGGGCCGAAGCATCGAACGAGTTTGTTGTGGGTGGCGCCGTTTACATCATTTATATCGGTGTGTTTGGTTTTGTGTCGTTATCGAGTTGACAACAACCCGATGATGACGTGGTTTGGTTATGCTATGACGGTTGGCTTCTCTATGCTGCACATAGGAAGCAGCACGTTCCACTTGCTGAAGGCGCTTAACGGTTGGAAATTGAATTTTTTTTTAATTAACTATCCGCTTATTTACGCCGTATGCGTCTTGGTTTCTGTCATTATCAACATTTCTTGTTTGGTAGAAGGCGGCCAGGATTAACTCGACGATCGGCCATCTTTTGTTATGCGTGCTGCCGTTATTTTTCGTTTTCACTTTTCAATTTCGTTTATGTTTTTTCTCTTGGTTGAATTTTAGTTTTATTTTTGTCTTGATTGAATTTTAGTCTTATTTTTCTCTTCATTATATTGAATTTTAGTCTTATTTTTCTCTTGATTGAATTTTAGTCTGACATTCCATCTAATTTATTTACGCCTTTCTATTATGCGAAATTAAATAAACTTTTCCCAACCATTATAATTACATCTACGCACAATATAAATCGATCAATACGTATATAATAAACTATATAGACTTGACAGAATAAATCGATACGTATAAAATAAACTATATACAAATTAATAATAACAAGTACAAGAATTGCTTGGAAATAGTGATATAAAAAAATAAACAAAAATAAACAATACTAGAGCTGCAGAAACATTGATCACTTGGAAGATAAGAGAATGGCATTAAGAATTTTATAAATCTGAGTCGTTTTTTTAATCAAATCCCATAATAATGGATATAATATATATTAACACCATGTATAAGTTTAAGACATAAAAAAGTATACCATTAACCATATATAAATATATACTACTGGTCTGGTTCGAATTTGGTGCAGGTGTATTATCTACGGTTTTCGGGCGAGATTCGATCTGCCGTTGCACATTTCACACACTGAAGGTGCACAACGGTTGGAAATTTCATTTCCACTTGCGCAGCTTATGCTCTACCTTGCTTTTGTTTTATCTCACTGTTCAACTCTTAAGCAACCTAGGCCCTCGGCACTTGACCATGCTTAAATTTTAATTTGAACTCTTCTAACTAATTTCATATTATTATATTATATTATATTATATTATATTATATTATATTATATTATATTATATTATATTATATTATATTATATTATTCTATCTTTTTTTTTTAAATATATATATAGTTCTCCTTGTTCGAACTGTGTTGAATCTGGGATTATGTACTGTTCGATTTGGTTCATGATGTTTTTTTTAATGGGATTTTTGGCTTACATTTTGATTTGCTCCAAAATGGTGGACATGATGACGTGTGATCCTTGGAAGATATTTTGGATGATAGCTTGTCGGGATACCGCCGGAGGGGTACCTGCAACGCCCGGAGGGGTTTCCCGGCGTAGAAGCTCCAACGATCAAGTCAGTTTTTATTCAGAGATAATCGATTGTGATATGTAAGAGAAAGCATAGAAGTGAAAGGTTGAGAGTAACTCCCTATTTATATGTGAGGATACTTGATGGGCAAGAAATAAGCAAACTTGCCATAACTCCTCTTCTTGGGTCTGATACGATTTTGGGCCTAATACAAGTGAAAACTCAATCCAAGGCCCAATAAATGATTAGGAAACCCCATGAAGACAATTTGGTCCGTATCAACTACTCTCCCCTACTCCGAAGTCTAAAAGGCGTGATTAGACTAGGAGTATTATTCACGTGTTGTCGTTTTGCGTTACATCGTTTTTTCTCTGATTGTATGACTTGTGCGCTTATCTCGCCATGTTGCTTGAATGGCTCTAGCAATTTACCTGTTTGATTTGATAAGTTATTTTTGCCCATTTTAACAACTCATTTTTTCTCGAATTAACAACTCATTTGCGTGTTTAACGCCTCGTTCTTGTGCAATTTAACGCCTCATTTTCGTGCGATTTAACGCCTCATTTTTGCTCGATTAACGACTCATTTGCTCGATTTAACGACTCATTTTGCGCGATTTAACGCCTCATTTTTGGCGATTAACGCCTCATTCTTTTCTCGATTTAAACGACTCACTTGCTCGATTTAACGACTCATTTTTTGTGATTTAACGACTCATTTTGCGCGATTTAACGCCTCATTTTTGCATGATTTGACCGCCTCATTTTTTCTCGATTAAACAACTCATTTACTCGATTTAACGACTCATTTTGCGCGATTTAACGCCTCATTTTTGGCGATTAATGCCTCATTCTTTTCTCGAATAAACAAATCATTTGCTCGATTTAACGACTCATTTTTTGCGATTTAACGACTCATTTTGTGCGATTTAACGCCTCATTTTTGCGCAATTTGACCGCCTCATTTTTTCTCTTAAAGCGCCTCAGTGTTATTTATTTCGCACAAAGTGCCTCGACGTTGCTTATCTTGCACAAAGCGCCTCAGTGTTGCTAAATGATCAACCCCTTTTAACGACTCGTATTCTTCGAAAATCAAATTTAACCGAACTCAAGGGTTTTTCACATTTGTTTATCTGACTCATTGTCCCTTACCCCACACATGTATAACTATACGTCGGACATAAATTCAAGCAACATCTCGCAAGGATATTAGAAGAGGTTCGAGCTTTCATAGATTCGTGTTCGAGGTGGAGATGCGAGCTAGGAGAGAGCCCCATTTTAAGTTAGAAATATGAGCTCCGATAAACCTGGTGGTGTTAACACTTAATCGCCTCGACTCGTAACGATCTCTTGCCGAGGTGGAAACCTCACATCGTCATAAAGATATGGCTTGTATCCTCTCTTCTCACATAATCTCCTCTCGTAATAAATGAGAGCGACAAAAAGTCCATTTACTCGAAAAAAAGTAGAAACGATCGAAAAAAAAGGAGGAGAAAGGATCGAAGAGATGTCGGGAGAGGGAGATGAAGAAGCTGGTTGGGAGCGTCCACAAATGGTTGCCGAAGCACAAGTTGGAGGACGAGCCATCTTCTTACTTAGTTTGCTGCAGGTAATTACTTATATACAAAAAAATTAAAAAAAATATTCCATCAATATATATTTATAATCAATAATTTTGTACAAAAAAAAATTATTTATTATTTATATGAATCAGGTGATTGTGGCATGTGTGACAATGGGTGTGGAGATCTCACTGATAATGGGAGTAGGTGGGCCGAAGCATCGAACAAGTTTGTTGTGGGTGTCACCGTTCACATCAATTATCTCATTGTGTTTGGTTTTGTGTCGTTATTGAGTTGACAATAACCCGATGATGACGTGGATTGGTTATGCTATGACGGTTGGCTTCTCCGTGCTGCACATGGCTAGCAGCTCGTTCCACTTGTTGAAGGCGCTCAACGGTTGGAAATTGAAGAATTTTTTAATCAACTATCCGCTTATTTACGCCGTATGCGTCTTGGTTTCTGTCATTATCAACCTTTCTTGTTTGGTAGAAGGTGGCTAGGATTAACTCAACGATCGGCCATCTTTTGTTATGCATGCTACCGTTATTTTTCGTTTTCACTTTTCAATTTCGTTTATGTTTTTTCTCTTGGTTGAATTTTAGTTGTATTTTTCTCTTCATTATATTGAATTTTAGTCTTATTTTTCTCTTCATTATATTGAATTTTAGTCTTATTTTTCTCTCGATTAAATTTTAGTCTTACATTCCCATCTAATTTATTTACGCGTTTCTATTATGAGAAATTAAATAAACTTTTTCCAACCATTATAATTACATCTACACACAATATAAATCGATCGATACGTAGTATAAAATAAATAATATAGACGTGACAAAATAAATCGGATACCTATACAACAAACTATATACAAATTAATAATAACAAGTACAATAATTGCTTGGAAATAATGATATAAAAAAATATATATATATATATATATATATATATATATATATATATATATATATATATATATATATATATATTCAATATTGATCGCCACAAATGAGGAAAATGCAATTCATTAAATCGGTTCGTATTTCCATCAGTAATAATGTTAATATTAGTATTTAAGTGTGCCTCAT